CCGCCCGCAAGTACGAAGACTAGACAAATGTGTGTACTACCTATCATTTTCATGGTCGCTGAACGATCGCAGCACCAGAGTCCCCTCTAGTTAATTTTAGGAAACTCTATGGTCAGCACATCCTGCTGCTGCTCAGTCGCTCGCATGTGAAACAGGCTAAAGAGGCAGCCACTTTCCAGGGCACTCCAGAGCACTCACAAACGCGCAACCGAATACACCGTTATTAGACAGTTATTGTAGTATACCAGGCTAAGCGGCATAGCAGGCTCGAAGTGTGCATGTACATAACCTTCACTGCTTACCGTACGCATGCTATTTTTCTCATTTACTGTTACCGTATTAGCGTAGGTTATGTAGTGTACGTAGAACATGGCGTCTGTTTTGGACACCCATTTCGAGTGATTTTGGCGTAGTTATTGAAATATTCACTTTGTTCTCAGCAAATGACTGTTCCAAACGGCTTCGCTTGCCTTCAGTTGGCTTCGATAAGCGAGTTGCTATCGCTGTGGTCATATTACACTACGTAAGCGACATTCTAACCTGTACATGGCTGGTGCCTCAATTATTTATTTTGTAAAGGTAACAGTTGCTTTAGATCGAAATAAAATGTTTCAGATAGTATTCTGTCTCCTGCAAAGTCAACTCCTCAAGTCATCTCACATGTAAGACATTGAGGCAACCGCTGTCTGGATGACTAATGGGAGAAATTGGAATACAAACACACAGAAACGTTGGGCAAAGCAATGATTAACATCTATCATGCATGGCATCAATATTTATTACATTGCACTTACTTAAGCAGAACAATACACATCTTTAATGGCTTGTTGAACGACAGAAGGAAGCGTAGGAGCCATACAACAATAGTTTTAATTCCAACTGAATAAGTTGGGTGTGGAAAGAAAGGGGAAGAGAGTAGTACATAATGAAAATGCAATGCATAGGCTCACCACTTGCTTCGCTCCCTCCCCGAAAGAACTCAACTTTTCATGATTGCCCTCAAAAAAAAAAATCCTGGCCCTGCCCCTGGTTACGTCTCCTTACGTTACATTGTAGGCATCACAACAATGTGGCCACGTATGCATAATTAGCTCGTTCAACTCACAAGCAGACTCATGGCCACCTACAGTTTGGCCACGGCGTAAGAATAAGTTAGGTGATGACACTGCGGCCAGCGCCGCATCTAGATTGTGTTCGCCTCTGGGGCTGTTTCCCTTTGATTTGACAGATGGCGCTCACGGAGGGTGAGCCAAGGCGCTCACTAAAGAGCGGTTCCGATCTGCGCGTATAAGGTTATTGCTGCAGAGCCTCACTTGTTCATTACACTCGATATACAGATGTACATAGATGTGAATAAATTAATACACTGTGACTCTGCTCTAATGAAATTGATTTGCTAATTTTATATGCAGCTTATTTGCTGACAGTGTTTCTGTGATTAAATGGTGGGAACAACTTAATTGGGTCCCGAATGTCAACCCTGGGTTAGTTTGTACCACACCCGTGTCATGACTGTCGGGCCAGTGCCATCACTCGCTCTACTTTTTTAAGCCGCACAAACTTCAACTAGATGAAGTGCTTATCAGAGAGTGAAAGCAAGCTCACTACCTAAAGCAGTATACTTTGAGGAGCTCATACCTTATGCCGTCGACGCGGGACGCCAACATTAATATTTCACATTGATGAGGCATCTAAGGCTATCTAAGGTCTTCGTCGTAATAAACAGTGTTGTGCCGTAAATACCTAGGCAAGAAGTGCCCCTGCAATGTTAAAAAACAGTGACAATGAAGTGTTAAAGAAATCAAAAAACGAGAAAACCTGGCTTGACGACATCAAGTATCACAAACTAATTATAAGCACGTGAGTAGAGTGAACATAAAAAAAAGAAAGCACGACGGCATCACGAAACTAGCATGTGCAATGATTTATGTTCACTTCTTATTCTACAATATTTAGTTTTTCTTGGTCTCAACAGGCATAGATGAGACAGCTAAAAAAAATAGCATCTGAATTGAAAAGAAGTAATTATTTACCTGGCGTGATGAGGAACTGAGTGGCTAGCGCATAGGCCCACACCATCAGTGTCGTGTCGAGAAGCATCCTCCTTTTCACGTGTAGGAGGCCAATTACTGCACAAGTCGAAGCGCTGCCTTTTGCATGCATGCCATTCGATTCATCATCGTCATGCTGTAGAGTCGCTGTCTCCACAAGCAATAAACTTGGCCTACTTTCAGCGGTCGTGTCAAGCACTTCAGCTGCAGCCGAACCTTTAGGCCCCGTTGCTTCTGACAAGTCGGCTGTAGAGCCAGCCATTTTCGCAGAGATTTCCTATTGTTTATTGCAATAGCAATTATATGGACACTCTCGGCAGGATTTTGCCGCTGGCGAAGGCGGCGGCGTCACTCACCGTATATGTATACGTATCTGTATATATGAAAATGCAAAAAAGAAAAAATACAGAAAGAGACTGCAGTGCACGGAGTCGAACTTGGTTTCTCTGAATCGTGAGTGCAAGGCGTTAGAGCCACCGAGGAGCACGTCCTTCACTGCTGAAACGGCAAGCTATTTATATCTACCACTTACCGGTGCTGAGGAAAATCTCGGGGGGAATTGTCGTGTTGTTAGCACTACCAGCAAGATGGCGCAATAAGCAGGCATCGCCACATTGCGCGGCAGCGCACGTTTTAATCTCCCACGCGTACTTTGCCCCACTTAGAGGAGGGGAGCGACACTGCCTTGCACTCCCTTATCTCGCGGTGGGGAGGAGGGAAAGATCGTACATCTTGACTTGCCTCGAGCTTGACCTGGAATGATTCTGTTGTAGTTACCGGGCACACAAAGGTCACTGCAATCATTGCAGTCTCCGTTTGCGAAAAGCGTGCACTTTTCAGACACAGCGAAATAACAACTGAGACGCTTATCCGTGTGCATCTGTACATGTGAGTACGTTTCACACGACATTTGTGTGTGAGAAACGTGGGCACATTTTGATCTGCTTTCTATTCTGCCGGTGACCTTCCAATTCGTTGCTATCGCGTTGGTTACTTCGCCTTTGCGACAAAGCCGTGATTTTCTTTTTTCTTTTTTTGCTCTAAGGTCAGGTATTTTGGGCAGCCTGGGAAAATGGCAGGCACAGTACGTTAGGTGAGCGCAGGTTTCTTTGGTGCATGCAACATGACGTTTCCCTTGTATTTTGCTTCATATGTGGCAGAGAACGCTTCTTGTAGGAAATGCTTCATGCACACATGATCAGTAGGCTGCAAAGTTCTGTCGGGTTTCGAAATTACCTGTCGCCACTGAACCAAGTGCTCTAGTTCAGGTGAAGTCTTGAAAAGTGACACACGCTACGTACAAGTCCGGTACCATGACTCGCCATTCGGGACAAAACACCATTTGGCCATTTCGAGACGCAGCCACGAAAAAGACCGCTGACGCATACTAGGAGTCAAGGAGTCATGTGCAGCGACGAAGTATATGTGCACTGCATCACTAAGCACGAATCAGCAAAACAAATGCACCGACAGGGCTCACAGGCACAGGGCAACAAGTTTCTAAACCACAAAATTCCATGCAACCAAAGCTTTCAGGAAGATGTTCCTCAGCGCACGAATTTCAGAATGAGCGCTGCGTGAATACCTGGCATGCCATACAGTAGCGCCATCTCAATTCGCATGACAGAAACTACTCGTAGCTGAAAGTCATTGGCAAACACAATCTGCCCGAACCCTCTCCTTACGCGGAGCGGTAAGTGTCCGCACCTATGTTATTCTTACACGGCAAGTTTGGCACAACGTTATTCAGTTCTGTAACTCCCAACGGTGAAATCACACCGTCATGCACACCAGCATTACAGCAATACCACTACATATATTATTCAGTCAGTCCCTACAAGGCTAAATCACACTAAATCCCGAACACCTTATTTCTGCATACTGTTCTACTGACTCTTATAACTCTGTTCAGTCTCAGATTAAAACGAAATACCTCGGGCATCCTCATAGTATATATTCCTCCTTTGCTCCAAAATAGCATTGACTTGCAAATCCAGATTTCCTATAATTTATTACAGCTTTTTTTTCTTTTGTATGTGCCATTTTATTGTATACATATGTATTTATTGCATTCTTGGCTTGAACAGTGAAAATTATCCTGTTTTGTATTTATTATGTATATACTCTTATATATTTACTATTAGTATCTTTTTTTATTCAGTACATGCATTATTACAAAATAATTTCCCATGTCAATTTTTGTGTTTACTATGATTGTATGATACACCCACCCCAAACAATTCGTTGTATCACTTATTGTATTAACTATGTTCTTTAGAAACTGTTCACCTGCTTGGACTTAAGGGTTTACAGTATGTAATAAATTTTGAAAAAGCTTCGAAATATTACGTGCCAAAAGATTTTTGTTTATTTTGTGTTTGGTACATAATTTATTTCAGTAATAGAATCAGTCCACAGTTTTCTTGATTCTTTCTAATTTTTTTCTCACCTCATCTTTCAGTGTTTGCTGATTATTAAATTGCTTCTGCAGTCACAATTTGATGCTACATTTACTGATGTTTGCTTGCTTATAATCTATTATTTTGTTCCTTATGACCACATTTGCAACTAAACATTTTTTCAGCAACTTTCAATTCCTGTCTTTGCCCATCGCTCACTCTTTAACCCTATTTGCAATGCTAACCATTACCATTGTATGAAAATACTGAATCACTGTACTTTTAACACTATTGTAGAAAAAGACTGCGAAATCAATTGAACTGAATTCACTGTCCACTCAATGCATAATGCTCTGACTGCCATCTTTTGAACGAACAACTCTTCCTATGTGGAATAGTGCAAAAAACACACAAACACACAGGCATTAATGCATTCCTTGATGTGTGCCTGCCAACTAGCTCGGTCTTGTTTACTACTAAAGCTTCCATACAGGTGTGGACATAGGCCTCGATATTATCGACCATCAGTTTGGCCACCATTGGAACTTACCTTGAGCCCTCTCAGAATCTGGTAGACGAGAAACTGAACGTGGTCATCACTCAGACGCTGTGTCCGAATTATGTTGTTCAGATCTGAGCCCATCAGATGGTTCACCAGGTACCTGCACCACAATTAAGCAATCTAATTATAGTTCAAAGCACCGCCCGTACTACAAAACATCACTGTAGCACTAAAGGAGATGAAACATGTAGTAGATGGACGAGCATTGAACATCCACTGGCGTTCCCAGTGACGACAATTTTTCCAGGTAAGCCCAACACAATTATTTGCACAGTAAGGCCGGTGGTGTTATCCGTTTGTCAAGACGCTACAGACCCACCTGGACACTAAATTATAGTGCTTACATTCTTTACTTTTTCTACTTTTCATCAACTTGAAATAAGTTATCAACTCCACTTTAAAAGCACCATGACATGGTTGCCCACTTGACTGCTGTACTCAACGATAAATGCAAGTAAAAGGACCAAAATGAGTATCAAAAATGGATTGTAAAATAATACAATTTCATTTCACAATGGGCCCCAGAAGTCACCAGCTATAAAGCCCACCCACTTTCTGCATCTGCCGTTTCGTCCTGACATGTGTGACGTCATGTACTGTATGAGGAGGTCCCATCACCTAAGTTTCAGCCACTGCAAATCGTGCAGTCTTCAAACTGATCAAATACTGTAGGCTCAGCTGGCCTCAAAACAACAGAATACAGATGCTCGCTAAGCAAGCGGCATGATACGTCACAGCATGCGAGTGTGCCAGTGTTGTCAGACTCTCCGGCTCCTTGTGCATTTATTTATTTATTATTTATTTATTTCATAAAACTGTCAACCCTCTCTTGAGTGCTCTTACGGAGAGGTTACAACAAAATACAAACCAACTAATATACACGCATATCAGGCGGCGCAATCAATTGCATACATGTGCATCAATTTATCAAATTGGCAAACACTGCCTGCATTTACAGAAATGCCTGGCTATGCATTCCAAGGCCTAATCGCAGCTGGGAAAAAAGAGTACAAAGAAACGCAACCAAGAAAACATGCAGAAAACGTACATCTGGCAGCTCAATCACATGTCCAGCAATTTTTCAAATTTAGAGGTCTGGGTCCCTTTAGGTGGCTTTCATTGCCTGCTGACAATATCCCCAGTGCAGGCAAACGAGGTCGCATTTATTCCAGATGCATTAGTGTCAAATTTCACTGGCTGCCACATGGTGCCAGTGCTCCATGCTTATTTGTCCATCAGGGCAGCAGCTGGTCTTTAAAAGGGCCTCCCTCAGCACACTGGTGGTCCAGCAGGTTTAGGAACTGGAGCCATTTTTGGAGCCGAAAAAAGTCTGCTTTGGGGCACATTTGGAGCAAGGGAAACTGTGTTTTGGAGCAGGTTTGGTGCAGACAAAATGAGATTATAGTGCGTTCTGGAAACACCGCTGCAATGCAAACAAGGAGACAAGGGCAACATCCAAAGAGCAGCCACTAATCAAAGTCTTAGCACTATGTCGCACCCTGGCTTCACTGTAGTGCACAAGATGATTGATTGATATGTGGGGTTTAACATCCTAAAACCACCATATAATTATAAGAAATGCTGTCATGAAGAACTCGGGAAATTTCGACCACCTGGGGTTCTTTAACGTGCACACAAATCTGAAGACAAGGGCCTAGAGCATTCCTGCCTTGGGTTCTTTAACGTGCGCCCAAGTCTGAGGACATGGGCCTATAGCACTCCTGCCTTCATCGAAAATGCAGCCACCGCAGCCGGGATCGGATCCCGTGACCTGCGGGTCGGCAGCCAAGTACATCAGGCACTAGACTCCTGTGAGAAGGCGTGCACAAGATATGTGTTGAAGGGAAGCATTAGTGACAAGACAAACGAACACATATGACACGTGCCGAAAGGTCACTACAAAAAAAAAAAGTTCTAACCAGGACATTAGCAGTGTAACAATTGAAGAAAAAAGAGGAGGAAAGCTGGTGCATCTAAGAATATACTTTATGAAATTACATGCGTACATCGTGCCTTCACTGACTGCCAGAAGTCACTAAGGATGACGGTCCATCGTACTCCATAATTTTCAGAAGCATGAGCACCACATGATATTGTCCTTTCACTTTGAAGGACATTCGTTTGAGCACTTGGTCGTCGTTTTCCAAATATTGAGAAAAGGTCCTCTAAAAACAGAGTAAACTGGTACGAAAAGGGCGGGGTCAGTGAGCAATCCAACCATAAAGGGGTGGGGGCTTGCTCTTCTTCAAAGCAGCCTTAAAGAAGACTAGTCCCAACATTGGCTTGCGCAGCTACACCCTGTGTTGATGCATTTTTTACCTTAATATGCTGTCAGGGTGCGCTTGGTGGCTATGCCCCCTATTAAAAAACACACCACGACTCTAATTATGTCCTTCACTTGGCAGGGTTGAGCACTGCGCCACTGCTCAACTGAAAATGATGCTGCGCTTCTCAAGAATCACTAAGGTTAACACTGATATGCATTTACTCGCTCTGCCTAGAGAGGGTGCTTTCGCAGACTTTCTCACGGACACGAAGGGGACTTAGTGAGAGGCTACTAGCGAAATTTAACACGTATGTGTGCAGTGTAAGCGGCAGCTTCAAACAGTTGTTGAGGTAGGAGAGTTAACGGAGACGGCTGGATAGCTGGATTAGGGTTAAACGTAGGGCTGTTGGGCCCTCGGTCCGATGGTCGAACGGGCGATGGCTAAGGAGGCTAGGAAAACCACGAACAAGAGTGAGCTGGTGCAGTGCGAAGCATGCAAGCGCTGGTGCTACTTAGATGAGACAGAATTCTCGAGATTGGCCGACGTGCAGAAGGCGAACTTCGTGTGCAGGCTACGCAAGACACTGAAGGCGGTTGTGCAGCGCATGGAGGCTAGCATCGAGGGGCTTTAGGGGGAGGTTAGGGCGGAACAGTAGCAGAGGATAGAACTCCAAAAACAAGTCAGAGCGTCGCGTGAGCGGTAGGAGGCTACCGCCAGCGTATTAGAGCAAATAAAGGGCGACCTTTGAAAAGAACGGGAAGGGCGGACTGAGCTAGAGCAGCGGGTAAAGGAGCTAATGGCGCTTTGCCCCGGCCCCGAGCGGTGTAACACGGAAGGCATGGGTAGCGGAGAAGGTGACAGGCGGGAAGGAACAGGTGAGAGGGGAGGTCAGGGAGCCAGCCGCAGTGTCTGGCCACAGCACAGAGGCCCCGAGAACATATAGCTCGATGAGCGGCAGTCATCGAGCAGGGCAGCAACACAGGACAAACGGCAGAGAGAGAAACAGGTGAAGCAAACAGGGGCGCCATCACAAACAGGAAACCAGCGATTGGAGTGTAGAAGGGTCCTGGTGGAGGGGGACTCTAACGTGGCCAGGGTTAGCGATGGCGTCTTCAAGACAGTGAAGGAAGATGGGAGAGTGAGGGGTGGAGGCCCAGTTAGGGAAGAGCATGGCGGATGCACCTCCCAAAGCTCAGGAGGTTGTAGAGAACAGCATGGAGGGCGAAAATCTCGTCATTATTCATGCTGGGCTCAATGATGTGTTGAAGGGCACAGATCAGAACCTTCAAAGACAGTTAAAAGATGGGATGCGTAAGCTCCGGGAAGCTTCTGGAAGTGTGCATGTGAACATAAGCACAGTCCCAGAGGCCTGAGGGCAGTCTCGTGAGATTGAAAAAAAGGTAGTAGAGGCCAATTGTGTGATCCAGGGTATTAGCCGGCAACTCGCATACAGCGTAATGGAAGTTAACCAAACCGTGTACGAGCCCGGCGCTTGCCCCTTCGCACAGGATGACATTCACTACAGTGGTACGACGGGCAGGATGGTCAATAATAGAATGGGTCGTCAAGCCGCAGCTTTTTTAGGGGTACCCAGAGCCCTGAGGCCAACAATGTAGCCAAAGACGGTTCTGAAGGGCCACAAATATTCAAGCCACACGGAGTCCGTGGAAAAAGAAATAGACGTACGCACAAGGGCCGAGCTAAGTCAGATGTATGCTATATTAACATGCAGGGCGGCAGGAATAGGTTAAAGTGAGAAGAGATCGAATAGCTGTTGAGGCAGGGGGGAGCTGATGGTATATGGGGTTGTGGAGACACATCTTCGGGACATGGAGCAACCACCTTGCAATTCGGACTACGTATGGGAATATTGCAATAGAGCAGAAGGCAGCAAAAGAGAGTGGAATTGGTGCAATCATACATAAAAGCATGGGTTGGCAAAGAGTCAAGCAGGGATGCATGGAACATTTATGGCTAAGAGGGAAAGTAGCTGGGCAGATGACACTCCTTGGTTTGGTGTAATTGTGGACGGGAGCAAAGGCCAGAGAGGAAAACCAGGCAATGGTCGAGTGTATATCAAAGGACGTTGAGGAATTAGGAGGAGAGTGCGAGATAATTATACTAGGAGATATAAATGCGCACATAGAAGATATAGATGGGTATACCGACCCAACAGTCCAAATGATCATGAATATGTGTCAAAGGCATGATTTTATCATTTGCAACAGTATTGAGAAGTGTGAAGGGTAAATAACATGGGAGGTAGGAAGGCTGCAGTCGACGATAGATTATGCATTGATGTCACTTAGGATGTATGATAAGCTCAGGGGAATGCACATAGATGAAGGTGGCTCCAGAAGTCTGGGTAGCGATCACAAACGTATCAAGCTTAATTTTGGAAGAGCAGCGAAAGTGGGAAGGAGACAAAATGAGCAACTACATGGAAATTTTTATTCAGAAAGCCAAATTGAAATAGCCACTAAACAAACTCGAGAAAGTAATCACGGAGGATAATAAGACAGTGTGGACATACACGAATCTAATTAGACTCTTTGAGCTAGAGCTTGATAAGGCACGCGTACAAGTCACCCCAGAAAACAAGACACAAGCCCAAGAGTTGGTGGGATGAGGAAGTTAAGAGAGCCATAGCAAAACGTCAGGAAGCCTCTAGGAAACACAGACATGCTAAGCAGCGGGGTGAACCGACAGATGAGGTTGGAAGAAAATGGGAACATCTTTCTAAGCTGTAGAAGGGCAGCATCCCTCCTGATCAATGGAAAGATTAAAATAAAGGGTGCTCAGTGGCTGGCAGAAGTACATAAAAAGGACAGAA